CGCGTTCCTACTCTAAACGTGCTCTGCCGGATGGGGCTTATGACTGCTAACAAACCTGCAGCCTTTCTGTCAGAACTGATTTTCTAACTGCTACAGCGCAAGTGAGCCGCACTCCGGCTGCTCGCTGACTTTTTCCCGTCCCGCCAGGAGAACTCCAAACGCACGGTGCCCATGCGACGCAAGCTCAACGCAACTCTCTGTTCCGAGAACCAGAAAATAGTAAACTTCAGATTCACTGACCTAAGGCAGGAAAACCCTGTGGGTTAGTTCCCACATTTACAGGGGAGGAGCCAACCCGGTGCAGAAGTTCACAGTCGCGACAAAACTTTACAGGTGCTGCCCCTTTAAGAACGAACTTTCCTGTTGTGCCCCTGAAACCAAGACCACGGCGCCGCCCACCCCAGCCTCAATGCGCATGCCCCCAGCGCACTGTCCAATCGGAATGCAGCGCGCACGGGCGGGGGCGGGGCTGTGTTCCGCCGGCGGCCGGACGCTACGGAGCACCCCTTGGTCCAGAATTGGCAACCGACCAATCGGAGCCCAGGAAGTTCCTGCTCCCAGCCAATGGCTCGTCAAGTTCGCCGAGGGCCGGAGCAGCACGGAGGTGTCGGGTGGGGGACAGGGCGACACGGCGGGTCGGAGAGGCACCGCGGCCCTGCCGGAGATCCGGGACCGCCCGCGTCTGTTCTCATCCACCAGGACGGACGTGGGGCTCGGGGCGGGCGGGAGCCTCTCGGGGCGGGACGAGGCTGTGTCCCGCCTGTTCCTTCTCGCTCTCCCCTACGTGCTGGTACATTCCAAGGTGGCCGTCCTCCGCAGGTGGATGCTTCCGGGTGGACGGTTGCATGGCTGCGTTCCTCCCCCGTGCCCTCGTGGTCCAGTGCACACGGTGGCCGTGGGGTCACTCACCTGGGGTTACACACCTGCTGGGGCCACTCACCTGGGGTCACACACTTGTGGTCACACAGTTGGGGTCACACAGCTGGGGTCACAACCCTGCGGGGATCACACACACATGGGGTCACAACCCTACGGGGGTCACTCACCTGGGGCCACACACCTGGGGTCACTCACCTACTGCGGTCACACACCTACTGGGGTCACTCACCTGGGGTCACACACCTACTGGGGTCACTCACCTGGGGTCACTCACCTACTGGGGTCACACACCTACTGGGGTCATTCACCTGGGGTCACACACTTACTGGGGTCAGTGGTGTGAACGCACACTGAATGACCGAGGGCTGCAAGTGATTCTGCATCTGGGGAGCCCTGGGGACTTGGGCAGGTCTGTTCTCTGGACCACGAGGTGGGCATCAGTGGGTGTAGCCTGGCTCCCGGTGCCCGCTGCTTCACTCCACAGTTGGGTAGATGTCCAGGTTCTGGCCATCGCACACTGCCTGCCATCAGACCTGCCCCTGCTGGGAGCAGCCAGTAAACCTGGCTGAGGTTTCTGGTCTGGGTTTCAGTCTGTCTGAAGGACCTGGAGCCCAGATTTCCTTTGAGGCTGTCACCCAGCATGCGCTGACATCCAGGGCAGCAAAGCAAGGGCTGAGGGCGACATGTGAAAAAGGGGCAGATGCGGTGGATGGCGACATGTGAAAGAGAGGTGGATGTGGTGTCACCGCGGGTGAAGTTGTGGCCTGGAATGTCAGCATCCCGCATTGGAGCTTCTTCATGTCAGTGCTGCTCCCCTGTGATCCCGCTCCCTGCCAGTGTGCCTGCGAAGGCAGCCGGTGATGGCTCAAGTACTTGGACCCCTGTTCACCCACATGGAAGACCAGGGTCTGGCTCCTGGCTCCTGGCTTAGCCTGGTGCAGCCCTGGCTGTTTTTGCTATTTTTGGAGTCAACCAGTGTCAGTTTCTCAGTGTAGTTTTTCATATTATGATCTTCATAAGCCTTTTTTAAGATAATTATTATTATTGGGAAACCAGATTTACAGATGGAAAGATCTTGCATTTACTGGTTCACTGCCCAGATGGCCACAACTGCCAGAGCTGTGCCATGAGCTTCTTCCAGATCTTCTACATGGGTGCAGGAAACAGCCTCTGCTGCTTTCCCAGGTATAAGCAGGGAGTTGGATCAGAAGGGGAGCAGCTGCGACAGGAACTTGTACCCAATATGCTCCTGCTTGAAATTGCAGGATTAGTCTATTGGGTCATTGCACTGGCTCCCTGCCATAATCCTTTTTTTGGAAACCTTCCTCATATATATGGATTTTTTTTATTCCTTTTTTTCCCCCACCAAATGAACTTAGCTGTTAATCCAAGTTTTCCACAAAGTTTGGAAGTACCTTACAAGCTCAGTGAGTTGAGGCTGCCATAAACGGAGTCATGAGGGAACAGGATGGATGCAGACTGCCACAGCATTATAAGATGGGGCTTTGGGTCCCAGGTTAGGAAAGTGACTTTGGACCTGTTGGTGAGGAATGCCCCAGGGGTGTCCCAGGATTGGCAGGCTCTCCCCACTCCCCGCGGATATTGCCTGTAGCGAGCCCAGTAATGTCAGTTACTCCCCTGGCCTCCTAAGCATCAAAACAACTACCCTGCACCCTGAGACTTCAGTACCCCCCAAATGGCCTGCTTCATGGGTGGGCAAAAAGGCACCAGCAGGCATGGTGACTGAGCTAGCACTCAGGTGGCGAAGCAGTCTGGCATTATTTGGGAAAGTTTGAGATATGCAAACCTCCCAAGCCTCCAGTTCTGCCTTCTGACAGTTTGCAAGCAGACTCTGAGTGAACACCGGGTGGCCTTGCGCTCGACCACAAGAGCAAACACAGGCCAACCATCTGTAACCATGAGACCGTGGATAAACAAATGACGAGTACATGCTATAGAACACTGTACAGCAGTGGTAATGAACAGACAGCTGCTGTTCTAACAGCTAACAGGAACAATAGGGAAGGCGGGCTGGAGCAGAGTGCATGCACTGAGTACCCAACCTGTGGGCTGATGCTTAGGCATAGTAGGTTAAGCCTCCGGCTGAGATACCAACATCTCATATAGGCACCAGTTTTGAGTTTCACCTGCATTCTGTCTAATCCAGCTCCAGGATAGTGGCCTGGGAATGAAGCAGAGGATGGCTTAAATCCTTGGCTCTAGGCACCCCTGTGGGAGACTTGGGAGAAAAAGCTCCTGATTCTGGCTTTGGATCAGCTCAGCTCTAGTCACTGTGACCATTTGAGGAGTAAACCAGCAGATCAGCAGATGGAAGACACTCCCTGACTCTCGCTCTCTGCTATCTCTATAAATCTGCCCTCCAAATAAATAGAAAATAAATCTCAAAAATCTTAAATCTTAGAAAGTTCAGGGGCAGTGGCCAGCACCAGTTTGAGTCCTGGTTGCTTTACTTTGAATCCACTTCCTTGCTAATGCACCTGGGAAAGCAGCTGGTGCATTAGCAAGGAAGTGGATTCAAAGTAAAGCAAACCAGGGCCCGTTCAGGGGCCCAGCACAGTAGCCTAGTGGCTAAAGTCCTTGCCTTGCACACGGCCAGAATCCCATGTGGGTGCTGGGTCTAATCCCGGCTGCTCCACTTTCCATCCAGCTCCCTACTTGTGGCCTGGGAAAGCAGTTGAGGACGGTCCAAAGCCTTGGGACCCTGCACCCATGTAGAAGACCTGGAACAGTTTCCTGGCTTCAGATCAGCTCAGCTCTGGCCATTGCGGCCGCCTGGAGAGTGAATCGACAAACAGAAGATCTTCCTCTCTATCCCTGTTCCTCTCTGTATATCTGACTTTCAAAATAAAAATAAATAAAATCTTTTTTTTTTTTAAAGGTTCAGGACAGGCATTCCGTCTGGCAGTTAAGATGTAGCTTGGGACACACACATTCCATATTAGAGTGCCCAGTTCAAGCCCTGGCTCTGTTTCCGATACCAGTTTCCTGCGGATGTGCACTTTGGGGCACACCAGATGATGGCTCAGGTGCTGGGGTCCTCCTGCCTCTGTGGGCAACCCACACTGAGTTCCTGGCTCCATGCTTCAGCCTAACCTAACTCCAACTCTGAAGGCATCTGGTGAATGAGCCAGAAGATGCAAGTTCTCTGTCTACCTTTCAAAGACATACATTTTTGAAGCTTAAAAGGCAACAAATACTAAATAAGATGTTCAGGCATTTGTATATGCTGTAAAGTTCCTTTCTTTTAACAAAGAGCCAAGAGGCTGGCTCTGTGACACGGTGTGATTGGGCCACCACCTGTAATATTGGCATCCCATATGAACTCCAGTTTGAGTCCCGGGTGCTACATTTCCTTTCAGTCTCCCTGCTAATACACCTAGGAAGGCAGTAGAAGATGGTTTAAGCGCTTGGACCACTGCATCCACCAGCGAGATCCAGGTGAAGTTTAAGCCTCCTGGCCTTGGCCTGGCCCAGCTCTGGCTCTTTGAGGAGAGAACCAGGGGATAGAAGATCTCTCTGTATGAGTCTCTCCTTCTCTCTGTGTCACTCTGTCTTTCAAACAAATAAAATAAGCCAAACAAAAACAAAAGTAAAAAGGCTGAGTGGCGGGAAGTACACTAGGAGCTCCAGGAGGTGAGGGTGAGAGAAGTGAGCCAGGGGCATGCAAGGTCTATGGTTGAGACTAGGGCTGGCACTGGAATGAACAGGAAAGGTGCTGAAGGCGCTGCCCAGCAGGACCAGGGGCCTGGGTTTGGGCCCGGCCTCTCTGGTGCCTTGGGGTAGAGAAAGGCCTCCCAGTCCCGTGGTTCCTCCTCGCCCCAGCCAGCCCCGCAGAGGTGCTGCAGATGGCTCGGCTCTTTCTGCCAGCCAGAGGGAGGAAGGCCTGAGCTAGTCAGAGACAGGTGGGCGCCAGAGAATGAGACCGTAGGAGAGGTACCCGAGCTAGCAAAACAGATGGTTCTGACTAGTAAAATGGAGGACCCCAAGATGTGAGGGCCTTCTGGGAGGAGGAGCCCAGGCCCCGTGGGGGGGCCCCAGCAGGACTTGTTTAACCCTTGTGGTTTTCTGCACTTCCTGTTCCTTTGCTCACTGCGGAAGTTCTTCTTACCCTGCACCCTGAGCCCAGCCGAGAGAACAAAGACAGAAGGCACCATGAGTGCGGGCCCTGCAGGAGGCAGGCCCGGGGTTCGGGGAGGACCTGAGCCAAAGCAGAACATTCCCTCCAGCCTCCTTCAGGACCATGAAAACCAGCGACTCTTCGAGATGCTGGGACGCAAGTGCTGGGTGAGCTGGGGATCCCCTGGCGCTCCCTGCCTCCCGTCCTCTGCCTCCTCCTCTCCCTCTTGGCTCCTCAGCCTCTCCAGCCCTCCTCTCTCTTTCTCCATCTTCCCTGCCTTCTCTCCCTCTCCCATATCTCCCGTCCTAGAAGCCCCCTGTGGTTGTTCGCCCATCCCAGGAAGAGCTCGATGTCTCCTCCATGACAGCCACAGGCCCGGAAGGGCCAGGTATGGCTCTCCAGGACCCTCCGGCTGGCCCTGACCAGGCTGCCCTGCTCTCCCTGGCAGACGCTGGCCACTGCAGTTGTTCAGCTGTACCTAGCGCTGCCCCCTGGAGCTGAGCACTGGACTAAGGAGCATTGTGGGGCTGTGTGCTTCGTGAAGGACAACCCGCAGAAGTCCTACTTCATCCGCCTTTATGGCCTTCAGGTGAGCCCCGCCCCTCACAGCACTTCCCTGTCTGCAAAGCCAGATCTCCGTGATGAACTCTGAGCCCTTGGAGCAGCCGGCAAACAAACCCTTGATCCCGAGAACCAGGACTCACCCAGATCTCAAAGCCTGTGTTGCTTTCTAACTCTCATTTCAAATATTAAGCCACTTCCCAGGCCCACTTGGGTCTCCCAACTCAACTAACCGAGCACTGTGTTTATGCCTAAGCCTCTCATCTATTCAGAGCTCAGCATGCTGCATCTCAGCAGTCCCCCATCAAAACTCCTGAGCCCCAGCTGTTTGCTCAGCACCTAAGTAATAAGCCTGCTACATAGACCCCAGACCTGAAGAGTCCATTGAGTCTTGAACTTCTCAAATTCCAAATCAGTCTTCTTAAGCCCACAGTATGAACCGCAGAAGGTCCACCTTAAAACTACTCAAACAGATGCTGGCAGGGTAGCCCATCAATACAAGCCTCCATCTGCAGTGTCAGAATCCCATATGGATGCTGGTTCTACTCCCGGTTGTTCTATTTCCAACCCAAATCCCTGTTAATGGCCTGAGAAAGCAGTGGAGGATGGTCCAAGTCATTGGGCCCCTGCACCCACATGGGAGACCCAGAAGAAATTCTTGGCTTCGGCCATTTGGGGAATGAACCAGTGGATACAAGATCTTTCTGTTTCTATTTCTTTGTGTAACTCTGACTTTCCAATAAAAGTAAATAAATGGGTTTTTTTTTAAGACTTATTTATTTATTGGCAAGTCAGATATACAGAGAGGAGGAGAGACTGAGAGGAAGATCTTCCATCCGATGATTCACTCCCCAAGTGAGCACAACGGCCGATGCTATGCCGATCCAAAGCCAGGATCCAGGAACTTCTTCTGGGTCTCCCACACGGGTGCAGGGTCCCAAGGCTTTGGGCCGTTCTCGACTGCTTTCCCAGGCCACAAGCAGGGAGCTGGATGGAAGTGGAGCTGCCGGGATTAGAACCGGCACCCATATGGGATCCTGGTGTGCAAGGCGAGGACTCTAGCTGCTAGGCCACGCCACCGGGCCCAGTAAATAAATGTTTTTAAAATGTCATAAACTACTCAAACAAATAAGGAAATAATTCCCAGGCTTTCCAGGCTTAAGCTCTAAACTCATAAAGGTGATCCTGACATCACTTCCAGATGCCAAGGCCATCAACTATTGACCAAACTCCACAGGTCTAAGTCAGCTTCATGGACCCCCAATTGCAGATATTTTGGCTGAAGTCCTCCCCTACATGCCAAGTGTATATGTCAGGAAACTCAAGTTTCAACCCTACCGCCCAAGTCCAACCTGCCACAGAGCCAGGGCAGCCCAGGATTTGGATCAAGGCTTTGTATGAATCTGTTTCCTGGGTCTGGATTCCTACATTTTCCAAACCTAGACCCAGTCCCACATGTCGAGCCCTGAACACCACATCTAAAGCACCTTCACATCCAAAGTGGAGTCTGGTACTCAGGTTCTTTATTAACCTTCTGATTCTGACACCTGGACCCTCAAATCTCTGATGCTGATAGCAAGTCTCCTGAATCAGACTCCCGAGCCCCAAGCCTAGACAGCATGGCCCCTGCCCAGATAACAACAGCCTGTCACCCAGCTAGAGGGTACCTCGGTGCTGGTGTGCCTCCATCACCTCCCTGCACCTTTCCAGGCTGGCCGGCTGCTCTGGGAACAGGAGCTGTACTCACAACTGGTCTACTCCACTCCCACTCCCTTCTTCCACACTTTTGCTGGAGATGTAAGTAATCAACCAAGCCCTATAAAACAAGGGGGCATGGGGAGGAGGTGGGAATTGTGGGAGAAGGGAGCCTAGAAGGCTGCTGACCCTGAGGCATGTGCAGGACTGCCAAGCGGGCCTGAACTTTGCCGATGAGGGCGAGGCCCAGGCCTTTCGGGCCCTGGTGCAGGAAAAGATCCAGAAAAGGAATCAGAGGAAAAGTGGAGGTGAGGAGACCTTGAGGGAGGTGAGGCTTTTGAGGTTTCCCACACTTTGCATTCCCCTCCATGGTTTGACTCCCCATTGACCCCTTTCTACAGACAGACGCCAGCTACCACCACCACCAGCACCAGTCACAGAGGGTGAGTTTTCTAGAACATGTAGGGATGAAGAGGGCTTGCCCAGGAACCTGTGGCAAGCCCCTGCTCTTTCCATCTACCCAGAAAGAAAAGGGGGACTCCCACCCTTGCCCTCACACCCAGGTGGAGACCAAGGGGGTGAGTGCTGATTCTTCTTTGTTATCTTTGAGTGGTGGGAACTTGGTGGAAGAGTAGGTGCAAAAAGGATCTACTCATTTCTCTCCATTGACCCCACTTGGGCCCCTCGCTCATTCCCTTCACGATCATTATTTTTCTCTCTCCCTCTCCCAACAGTTCTCTTGCTTCCTGCCCCTTTGTTTGTTAGATAAGTGGGTCAGTGGTCTAGTCACATCACCCTATTTTCTGCATAGGCCCACCAGGTGGCCCCGTGTCTGTGGGGCTGGTGACAGTGGACATCCAGAATCCTGACATCACGAATTCACGGTATCGTGGGCTCCCAGCACCTAGTGCTAGCCCAGCTGATAAGAAACGTTCTGGGAAGAAGAAGATCAGCAAAGCTGATATTGGTGCACCCAGTGGATTCAAGTAAGTGCCTCTCCCCAGTGGTCCCACAGACTCCCAGGGGTGGATAGGGCACTTATGAACAGGTGAAAAGCTAGGTGGAGGGAAGAATTGTCAAATGGGTTCAAGGAAGGGACTATACTGAGGTAAACGAGGTGCACAGCATGGAAAATTCAAGGAGGCAACTGCCCTCAGGGTCATGCTGCCTCTGTAAGTGTTATAGCCCAACCACCTCTCTGACCTTACCCAAGTTCCAAACCTTGTAGGCTGGTGGACAAGGTAGATGGTAAATGAGATAGTGAGTGCAAAGGTAGGAGGATGAAGATATGAATGAATGAATGAATGAATGAATGAATGAATGAATGAATGAATGAATGAGTGGTTGAATGGATGGCTTAATCAGTTCAGTGAAGGTTGGTGGGTAGGATGGCTGAGTGAATGAGTATGGGGACAGACTGATAAGCAGGTTGATTGGTTCACCAGCAAGGTGGGTCAAGGTAGTTGAATATGTGGATGAATGGGCAGTTTAGTGGGTAAGTGAACAGAAGTATGTGGCTAAATGGGTACAAAAATGAGTGGCAGGAGGAAAAGCAGGGACAGACTTGTGGATGGCTGGGTGCCTAGACAACTGTGTGTGAGTTCAGATTGGTGGGCAGATGGATGAATGGTAGGCGTGGCTCAGGTGTGGGCTGATGGCAGAGGGCAGATGTGTGTAGCCATCAGGATGGATGGGAATGGACAGGTGAGCAAGTGATTGAGTGTGGAGAGGATGGAAGGAGGGGAAGATGTGTGTCCCCACCCACGGACCACTTCCCCACTCCACTGCTTACCTCACTCAGCCATTCAGACTCAGGCATGCGTCCTGGCCTCTCTGGAGATGTCCAAGGAGGAGGGGGCACGAGGGTTCCCTGGGAAGGGAGGACAGAGGGGCTCATTGTCCTCTCCTCACCTCCTCCAGACATGTCAGCCATGTGGGGTGGGACCCTCAGCATGGATTTGACGTGAGTAATTCCCAAGTGTCCCTGGATCCCGCTCACCTGCCTTTTCATAGAGCTCACTGAGAGCCCTTAGCCAGCCCCACTGCTTCCCACACCCTGGCCAACATGGCACCTGTGACAGTCCTATCCCTTCCCTCCACACCTTCTTCCTCTGTCCTGCCCACCTCCGGGACAGGTGAACAATCTCGACCCTGATCTGCGGAGCCTGTTCTCCAGGGCGGGAATCAGTGAGGCTCAGCTCACCGATGCAGAGACATCCAAACTGATCTATGACTTCATCGAGAACCAGGGAGGGCTGGAGGCTGTGAGACAGGAGATGAGGCGCCAGGGTGAGACCCCTCTCTACCCAGCCTTCTTCTTCAGCCTTGGTGGCTGTGAAGGAGTTCATGAGGGAGTTCATCAGTCAGTGGAGGTGGGGTGGCAGACCCATTTTACAGATGAGCAGAATTGTATTTGCAAGAACACAATAATAATGACAGCTGTGTGTTATTTCTCCCACCCCCACAGAGCCACCCCCACCACCATCCAGAGGAGGAAACCAGCCTCCCAGACCCCCACTTGTGGGTAGCAACAAGGGCCGTATTGGTCCACTACCCCCTGTGCCTTTAGGGGGTGCTCCACCCCCACCCACACCACGGGGACCCCCACCCCCAGGTCGAGGGGGCCCTCCACCACCACCCCCTCCAACTACTGGCCGTTCTGGACCACCACCCCCTCCACCGCCTGGAGCTGGGGGACCACCAGCTCCACCTCCTCCACCCCCTCCACCACCACCACCACCACCCAGCTCTGGGGATGGACCAGTGCCTCCTCCACCTCCTCCTGCTCCATTGTCTGGGGGCAACGTGGCCTCTGGAGGCGGTCGGGGGGCACTTCTGGATCAAATCCGGCAGGGAATTCAGCTCAACAAGGTGAGGACTTGCACAATGAAGAATTAGGGGGTCTGGGAGGATACTGGTGGACCAAGACTGATGTGGGTGCCAGACTTCGGGGATTGAATGCTAAGGTTAGCAGATGGGTGGAGAGCCTTGAAGAGGATTGGTGTATGGGAGGAAAAACTATGACGAAGGGGCTGAGAAGTTCTGATCCTTCCTCACTGCAGACTCCTGGGGTCCAAGAGAGCTCAGCCCTGCAACCACCACCACAGTCCGCCGAGGGACTGGTGGGTGCCTTGATGCATGTGATGCAGAAAAGAAGCAAGGCCATCCACTCCTCAGGTGAGCCTGTTCTGGCCTAACCTTGGCCATCAAACATCCCCAGCAGACCATATCAATCGAGACATTAGCTGTTTTCATTAATAACAGCATCTTTAGGAGTGTTAGCTCAGTTAATGTTAACATTGACATAGTAAATGACCATGATAGAACTTATCTTGATAGAACTTATTCAGTCCTATTGACTTCAGCCCACTATGTAACCATAATATTTTAAAGAACCCCATCTTTGATACTAGTATTAACTTTAACTTCCTGTACTAACAGCTTTACATGAATTCATAATGAAGTATAGCTGATTTCATCTTTTTGCAATAATTCTAACATTAACCTCTTAATGTGTGAACAATATTATCTTCACACATTCTATAAAGATAATAGTAATTTCAACCTATCATGAGACAATAATACAATTAAGTCCAACTTTGACAATAACAGAAAATGTATCCACAAGTTTAATGCAAATCAGTTATGTGATAGCATTACAAACAAGCCTTATCTTTTGGGTGACAGGAGCCTGTGTACTCAGGCCATTTTCTGCTGCCTTCATAGGCACGTCAGCAGGGAGCTAGATCAGAAGCAGAACAGCTGGAGCTGTCACTATAGTATAGTGGGTAAAGTGGCTGCCTAGAGTGCCAGCATCCCCCATGGGTGCCGGTTTGTGTCCCAGCTACTCCAATTCCCATTCCTTGCTAATGGCCTAGCAAAAGCAGTACAACAAGGCCTAAGTGTTTGGGCCTCTGCTACCTGTGTGGGACACCTGGATGAAGCTCTTGGCTCTTGCATTTAGCCTGGCTCAGCCCTCATCATTGTGGCCACTTTGGGGGAGGTGAACCAGTGGATAAAAGATCTCTCTCTCCCTCTCCATCTCTGCTTCTCTCTGTAACGCTGAGTTTTAAACAAATACATCTTGAGGGAAAAAAAATAGAATAGCTAGGACTCAAGCCATTGTCCTTAAGGGATGCCAGCGTCACAGGTGGTAGCTTAACCCGCTGTGCCACAACTTGGGCCCTATAATGCCATCCCCAGACTAACCATTTTTGATAATGCTGTCTTAATTTCAACTCCAACCAGAGAACTTTCTGAATCTTTGTCTCCCTTTAGATGAAGGGGAGGACCAAGCAGGTGATGAGGATGAAGACGATGAATGGGATGACTGAGTTGCTGCCCCTGCTTCTCTGCTGTCTACTGCCCCAGCCCGCTGGCCCAGACTCTACAGTCCAGGACCTCACATCCGATTGCTTCCCCACCAACCCTTCACATGCTGTTATCCCTTGCTTGTCCTCGTACTCACTGTCCCAATACCAAGGATCTTTTTATTATTAAAGTTTATTTAAAAGATGTGGAGATCACAGATCCCTGTGGGCCATGTTTAGGGTGGTGGGGGATGGGATGGGAAAGATGGGAGAGAGAGAAATGCTTCTGCTTTCCATCCTGTGTTTGTGGGAAGAGAGAGAGAGAGCATTCCTCTGCATTGCCAGCCTTCATATGTTCCTGGAAAGGGGAGCGGCTTCATGATACCAGCCCAGATGCAGGGGGAGAGGAAGTAGGCTCCCGTGATTGAGACATGGGCAGGGGGGTTTCAAAGAGCAGGAGCAGTGTGGCTTGCATCTTGGGACCCTGTGCCAGCGACCTAACTGTCCCACGTCATTCCCCTTCAGGGGGCTATGACGCTCGGGTTGCCTGCAGGGAGCAGAATCATCAGCTCTTGTATAGTTATTTCCTGCTCATTGGGACATGGGGCTTTTCTGTCCCTGATTCAGAATTTTCTTTTTAATATATAGTTAATTTGGTTAAGTTTATCTAAAAGCTGAGGAAATTACAAACACACACAGGCCATATGCAGAAATGGATTGAATAGGGAGGGGAAAGGTGGGAGAAGGATGTTTCTACTTTTCATTATGTGTCCCCAGGAAGAGAGAGATTGCCCTTCTCTATTGTCTCGCTTCTCGTGAGCCTGGGAAATAGAGTGATATGATACTACCTCCAAGTCTCAGGTGAGGAAGAGTACATCCTGGGGAAGAGGTCAGTTGATTGATAGGTAGGCATACAGTACATAGAACATGGGAGATATGGCTTCCAATTCTTGATTCTAAGCTTGACACCTGCCTGTCCCATTTCATTTCCCCCATCAGAGATTTCTGATCCATATGCTTAAGGGCTGCTGAAGGATGTAGATTCATCTTGTCTTCCCTGGTTACTTCCTATTGGTTAGGGAACATAGGCCTTGCAGATCCTGGGTTCAAAAATCTCTATCCATCTAATGGATCTATCTCATGAGTTGGAGAAATTCCAGAGGGTGCCAATGACTGTGTCCCCCACATTGTCATCACCAATCTGTGAAGTCATTGGCCTCTTTCCTGCCTTTTTAAGTAGCAACTGAGGTCCTCAAGTGGTTTACAGGAGCTAGCTGACTTGTGCACTGGGCAAAATCCTCTACCCTGCACAGAAGTAATCACAGGAGGTGGTACAACGTGCATTGTATGCTCCAGTGCAAGAACACACACACACACACACACTCCAGGTTCTGGTCCTGGAGATCAGAAATTCTATTGTGTCTAAGATCAATAGGTTTCTTAGTGACACCAAAACTATCAGTGCCCGCCCCTCCTCCCAGGACATTGGCCTCAGGTTCCTAACCTAACATAGTGGTATGCCTCTGGAACAGTCTGCCTAGGAACCACTAGGCACCTGGTCTGCAAGCAGACCAGGTGCCATGGGTGTGGCCTTAGACCTGTCAGGTACCTAGCCTGCTAAGGTCACCAATGGGGCACCCCCAGAACCCCAGCCTTGGACCCTTGGCAGTGGTGTGCCACCAGTGCAGCTTGTCTAGGACCCATCAAACCCCTGGCCTGCTGCTCTAAGACTGGCAGGGTGTGGTCTGCCTAGAACCCCAGCATTATGCCCCTGGTCTGCCAAAGCCCATCAATGCCTTTCCCTTTCCACACTCAGAATCCCAACTTCATGCCCCTGATCAAGTGCAGTGGCATGTTATTGTTGCTGTCTGCTTAGGACTCATAATACCCCTGGCTTATCCACCCCCAGCCTGGGTGCAGCCTATTTAGGATCAGTGAAGTCCCCAACCTGCCTGCTCACAGACTTGTGTGGTGGCTCACCACAAGAGTGCCCTGCCTAGGACCATCGGGCCCCTGACCTGTTAAAAGCCATTAGTAGGGCACCTTCCCAAGTCCCTTGGCCTAGCACTGTGGTGTACCATGGGAGCAGCCTGCCTATGACCCTGGTGTTGGACTCCTTGCTTCTCTGCCTCCAAGCTGGCACAATCGTATGTTGCACCACTGGGAGTGGCCTGCTATAAGACCCCTGTATGGGACCCATGGCCTGCCTGCTCCCATCCTGGCTCCATGCAGGTGGCATGCCACGTTGCTCAGAGCAGCCTGTCTTAAAACCCAAAGTCTGGATTTTTAGGTCTTTTGCAAAAGCCAGTCTCTTGGATACTTGACATTAAAGCATAGACAATTAAGCTGACACAGCGGGATGGCTAACACAGAATTGGCATGAACCAGGCCCAGAACGCCAGCCAGCTATTTTGGCTGCTTTTCTCCCAGTACTGTAACACTCATCAAGGTACAAGGTGACCCAGGTAGCTGCTTACAGCTGGGGTCAAAATGATCTTTCTGTCTCATCCAATGGATCCCTCTCATGAGCCAGAGAATTTCCATTCAGGGACAAATAGTTGTCCCTTCCATGTTCATCTTTGCTCTGAGAAGTTGTGGGTTTCTTTTCATGTAAGTTGGCCACAGAAGTAGCCTAACCATGCAATGTGTATACTCAGGCCAGATCACACACACACAGGTTCTGGTCCCTGAGGTTGGAGATTCCAACATGTCTGAAGCCAACATGAGGAAAGCATGGACTACTTGACAACTGCAGAAGTCATTTGTGCTTACTTCCCCTGGCCCCACACAGTGGGTGCTGTGGCCTGGCCCAGGGAGCCTCAGCATGCCAGTTCTTGAGACCCTCAGCCTGGCTCATCCCCAGCCCTATCAGTAGTGTATGCTACCAGGTGTGGTGGCTTGGCCAGGGGATGCTCACAGTATTGTCTTTCTAGACCCCCTGCCACCCTGCTCCTACATGTACCAGCAAGTATAGTAGTCTGGTCCACAAGAGCCTTTAAAAATATACACATGTGCCAGGCACAGTGGTCTGGTGGCTAAAGTTCTCTCCTTGCATGCACCGGGATTCCATATGGGCACTGGTTCATGTCCTGGCTGCTCCACTTCCCATCTAGCTCCCTGTCTGTCTATGGCTTGGGAAAGCAGTTGAGGATGGCCCAAAGCCTTGGTGAGAGAGGAGTTAGAGTGGGTAGTAGGCAGTTAGGGAATTCTGGGTCCCCGAGTAAAAGAGAATTTCCCCACCATGTCTTGAACTCACCAGAACACATCTCTTCCAAGGGATAGGGGTGCTATTAGCATATCAATTCCCCACCAGAAGTATCGGCCATTACCTCCGGCCACTGTGGGAAGGCCTCAGGCCGATCTCTTTATCATTGAAAGGAGAGCAGGAAGAAGTAATACACATCTGCCCAAGGCCTGGAATGTCCTATGTCTGGCACCTCTGTGGCCTTTTGTCCCAAGGCCAGGTACCATGGAAACCAGGAATTTTCTTTGTTCATGGAGAAACATCTTTGAGGGAAATCTTTAAAAGGTGCATTCCCCACCATTCATTCGGGTTTTGGGTTCTTCTTCTCTTCCTGCCACTATGGCAGAGGGTTTTGCTTATTCTTCTCCTGCCACTATGGCAGAGGACTAGGGTTTTGCTTCTTCTCCTCCTGCCACTATGGCAGGAGGTAAGGGTTCTTTCTATCTCAAAACCCCCTCCCGTCGCTAGGACGGGAGTCTTCTCTTCTCAACTTTTCTAGTAAATCTTGCTTTAAAACTAAACTGTGTCCGCATGAAAATTCTTCTTTCCTGCGAGACAAGAATTTGAGGTTGCTGCCATACTCGGAGTCAAAATTCCTGCAACATTGGGACCTTGCACCCTTGTATGAGATCAGAAAGAAGCTCCTAGCTCCTGGCTTTGGATCGGCTCAGCTCCAGCCATTGGGGCTACCTGAGGAGTAAACCAGTGGATGAAAGATCTTTCTCTGTCGCTCCTTCTCTCTGTAAACCTACCTTTCCTATAAAAATAATGAATAAATCTTTAAATATATACATCTATTAAAATGTCTAAATATATTTAGATACATATATCCAAGCATAGTAGCCTAGTGGCTAAAATCCTTGCCTTGTTTGTGTTGGAATTCTCATATGGATTCCAGTTTATGTCCTGGCTGCTCCACTTCCCAACCAGCTCCCTGCTTTGGCCTGGGAAAGCAGTCGAGCATTGGGCCAAAGCCTTAGGACCCTGTGCCCACGTAGGAAACCCAGAAGAAGCTCCTGATTCTTGGCTTCAGAGTGGCTTAGCTGTGGCTGTTGCAACCACTTGGATAGTGAACCAGTAGACAGATCTTTCTCTTTGTGTCTCCTTCTCTCTGTAAATCTGACTTTCCAATATAAATAAATAAGGTGTATATATATATATATAAATTTTAGTGTGTATATATATACACACACACATAAAATTTCTCAGTTCTCTTACAGATTTAAGTAAAAAATATCTTCTTACTACTGCATTCCAAGTGAGAGAATCAGGTGTACTTTCTTCCCCAAAGTACTTTTTATGAACTGTCTCATTTTATTTAGTTAGCATTATATGTATATATTCATTTATTCTTGCCCTTACACCTCCAGTTATTTTGCCTTTACTTCTTTGTTCATTTTCACCTTCCACCTTTCCACATTTATTGCCAGGTGCCGTTTCAGGGGCCAGGAATAAAGCAGTTAAAAAAAATACTGAAAAAAAAATTTCTGCCTTCATGGGGTGGCCTTAACTTTCAGGAAGCAGACATCTAAGAAACAAGAAACCAAACAGGAGGAAAGGGAGTTACAGATTGTGATGAGTGCTGTGGTGGACCTATTCAGAAGGAGTGGTCAGTAAGCTCCTTGGAGAAGGGGATATTGTGTTGGTCCTAACAAGAGAGACAGGCCATTTGACTATTAGGGAGAAAGATATTCTAGACAGATGGAGAAAAAGCCTTGAGGTGAGAAGAGCTTCACGTGGAGCCTCGTGCACTTGCTTATTTTTTTAACTATTTCAGTCAACAAGATACTAGTTCCAGAGCACACTTTGATTAGATGTTCCCTCTCTGTGTGTACAGAACTCACATAGCAGGATCCTGAGGAGCAGGATGCCTTTCTTTGTTGTAACACTTAGCCAATTGCAACACAAGATCAGACAGATTTGCTCCAGGGCCTGGCCTGTTTCCTCATCTCTACAAGGAGGTAACAATAGGTAACTGATTCCCAGGCCTCCTACACAGCCTGTTCCCCTCAGGGGTGAGAACAGTATCAAAGCTTGGACCATTTGGCCTAGCAGCTAGGACACCTGCATCTCGCCAGTAAGTGCTTGGGTTCCATACCCAGGCTCCAGCCTCCTGCTAATGCAGACCCTGGGAAGCAGTGGTGATGGCTCAAGTCCTTCAATATCACCCACGTGGGAGACCTCGATTGAGTTATTAGATCTTGGCTTTTGCTTGGATAAGTCTGGCTGTTGCTGGCAACTGGGGAGTAGGAGTTCTGTCAAGTTAATGTATGCATTTATATCATCCTTGATGTTTTTTATGCCTATTTCCAAGAGCATAACTAGACGTTCTTGCATATCAAAACCTAGAATTGAGGTTCCTATCCTTTCCCCTATTTGAAACCTAGGAGGTTCCAGAACTCAGTCTCACTTTAGAGGAATGGGGGAACAGGGGAGAAAGAGAAAGGTGAGAGGTCATCCAGAGAGTTGGGGCAGGCTTCTTCATCTATAAGTCCAGGGGAAGAGTTTCTGAAGCATGGAAGCACATGGGTGGGAATGGGCTGTTGAGAGAGCAAAAAAATGAAGAAAATGATGTGGGAACTATGAGGGAGGGAGGAGATGTAGCGAGTGGGAACTGGTTTTCCCTCTTAATAATTCCCTATGGAAGAGGAATTCTTCCCTGGGCTATAGAAGGAGGCAGTTTCAGGTTTCTTTTCATTCTTCCACCGACCCCCTCCACTCCACAGCATACCCCAGGCTGGCAGATGGACACTTGATCTGCCAATGTCACTTATTTCCCCTCCCAGTGCCCTGCCCCCCACTGAAATCCTAGAAATTCAGCGTGTTCTGATATGTTGTTCTAGAGAAGATCTCCCATTGCACAACTTCTGAATTCTCGTGACAGTGCTGGGTTTTTAAAAAAAAAAAAAATGACTGGGAGGGGCAGATGTTTGTCACAGTAGTTGAGATGTGTCTACACTTCATGTCAAAGGTTTGGGACCCAGTCCTACTTGCTTGGGTTCCTGCCACCCACTTGGGAAACCTGGATGGAGTTCTGGACTGCTGACCTTGGCCTAACACAGCACTTGTGGGCATTTACGGAATGAATCAGCAACTGGAAGAGCATACCCACTCATACTCTGGTTTCTCTTCAGAACAAATAAATCTTCCACTTTTTACTGAAAAAAAAAAAAAAGACTGATTATGAACAATTTGCCTGATCCCTCGGGGCCTCCGTTTCCTCAGTCCTTAAAATGGTGATAAAAAGATGTTTCTCATATGGGACTTAACTGGAAATTAAAGTAGGTGATTCTGCAAAGTATCAGGCTCCTTGCCGGCTTCTAGAAATGTCAGGTGCTATTTTCATTGTTGTCAGTGTTACTGCTGGATTTCACTGATCCTGAGTCATCATAGACTACAAAATGCACCATTATTTTATGTATTACTAAGAAAGACCAAAAAGTGCTGCCATTTCAATTCTGACTCACCAGTACAGTCATGCATCACTTAATGACAGGGGCCATGTTCTGAGAAATGCATTATTAGGTGATTTTCTTGTTGCGTGAACATCAGAGTACACTCACTCAAACCAAGACTGGTACAATGTCATCAGGTGACCCCATCTCATAGGACCACTGTACTTGTAAGATGCAGGCTGATTTCCATTGCTAACTGTCCCAGAAGCCCTGACTGATGATGATTGATGATGTTCTAGAACCTGCATTCTGGCTGTACAGGTATATTAACTTGTGAAAATTCATCACACCAGGCTTCTATGGTCTGTACACTTTTCCATTATGTGTGCTACACTCCAGTATGAGGTTGACATGAAAACAGTCCAAATCTGTGCTGCTTGCAATGAAGGAAACTTGTTTTGGTCTGAACTTCGTGCAGAGCATTACTAAATTAATGCTAAACAGGTGTGATGGCTCATTTGGTTAATCCTCCCTTTTGCAAGCACCAGCATCCCATATGGGAACCGGTTTGTATCCTGACTGCTCCACTTCCTTTCCAGCTTCTTGCATGCAGCCTGGGAAAGCAGTCGAGGACGGCCCAAAGACTTGGGTCCCTGCACCTGCATGGGAGACCCGGAAGAAGCTCCTGGCTTCAGATTGGCTCAGCACCAACCATTTCAATCATTTGGAAAGAGAACCAGCGATAGAAAATCTTTCTGTCTTTCCTTCTCTGTAGATCTGCCTTTCCAATAAAAATAAATAAATGTTTAAAGATTTTGGGCTGCTTTCCCAGGCTATAAGCAGGGAGCTGGATCGAAGGTGGAGCAGCCAGGATATAAACAAGTTCAACTACTGAGCCATTGCGCTGGGCCCCAAAACAAGTAAATATTTTAAAAAGAAAAGATTAATGCTAAGCAAATAGACAGATGCCTGGAAATGGGACGCAGTAACAACAGGACAATTTCTTCCTTTGGAGGGCTCTTTTCTTAAAAAGGTGCTAATCCAGAATAATTCATTTCCAGATGAGTGGGAAATGGTCCCCTCAAAATCGTTCACCAGAGGCAGTGCACATGAAGAAATAGCCTGTGGTCACACACTTCAGTAAATGCTGGAGCCGAGTCGTCAAGCTGCTATAGCTCCAGGACCGAAGCCCTTATCCACTACCTGACAGGAGCCATGGGCTCGTGCAGCTTCTCACCAAGTCCAGAGGGCCAGTGGGCAGGTCTGAAATCTTTAGTTGAATCTCGGGAGTGGGAAGTCCCAGCCCGTGCCCCAGCAGACTGGGGAGCGTGTGAGAACCAGCATCTGTACTCTGTCCTAGAAAGAATAGGGAGCTTGTGATCTGCTGAAGTGGGACTTGTGCCCTCAACTATTCCACTCATGGCAGAAAAGGTAGACTGTCAGACTGACCAGCACTTTCTCCAATCAGCTCGCAGCTGGTAGTTGGGATGTCTATCTAGTTGATTTTATGACTGATCTGTGGAATCTGGAACACAGGGAGCAAGAGGGAGAGGGGCCATTAGAGGAATTGGCCAGGCAGTTTCCCCATGCCCAGAGGGACTGAACATCTAGCTGCGCGTGACAACCTGCCTGGGACTGGTTACAACAGATGGCCTGATAGTGCAGAAGACAGGTATCTCCTAAGGGCCTTCCAGGCAGGCTGGTGACAGCTCACTCACAGCGCTGCTGCCTGCCTAGATGGCCAGATTTTGCCAATGGTTGACTGTTGCCGGGGATCACACCCAGTCCGAGGTGAACTGTGTAACCCTGTGTAAATTTCAGGGAATTTCAGGCCCACCGACTAACAGACTTGTTTTGCCCTTCTAGGCAGCTTGGAGCTACAACTCACTGTCCACCTCGCTAAGTTCACTATATGCTTGGGGGGCCTCTGGCCTCTTATCACCCTACAGATAGTGTCGTCAGTGGGATGACGACAATTACTAGGAGAGACAGGTGGAACGAGTCACATGCCAGCCGACCACCAGCAAGATAAGCACAGCTGCTGGCCTTGACGGGTTCTATGTAATTATGGACTGTCTGTTCTAGCAGAATGCCAGCTTCTGGCAGGGGCCCAGAACGTTAGAGAACAGTGATGGGCTTGAAGGACCCGATGGTCAATAGCCTGGGGCTGTGATGAGCCGCTTGAGAAATGTCAGGCTGGCTCAGCCAATGGCAGGTGGCATGGAGACATAATTGTCCCTCTAGTTGCTATGGCTCTGCTCTGGGGGGCCTAGCTGGAGTGGTGTGCGTGGGGTGTAACCAATGGCAGCTTGTCCTGACCTAATCATAGCGTGCCTGCCTGAGGCCACAGCTGAGTGCAGGAGCTGAGAAGAGGATCTACCCAGTAGCTGGTTCCAGGGCGAGAGCAGAAGGCGTCGGGGGGACTGTTCGAGTGGCCTGCGACGACGGACGCGGACTAGACCGTCTGTGAGAACGACAGCCTGGCTAACAGCTGGGTGCCTGTGCCTCCAGGCAGTCGCAGCTGGCCCAGGACACAAACGGATGCTGCCTTGGACTCACAGAGGGTGTGAGGGAGGAGGGGGTCTGGCCAGACACCTGCCTGGGGTGACTGACCCATCATCTATTTGAATTGGGTGACCGACTGGGCAGCTGTCCGTGGCGCTGATCCATTTTGGGAGTCACGGCGTGCTTGGGGTTAAAATGTGATGACGGACTGACTGACGGAGGTAATTGGGGGTCTGACAAGACGGAGAATCCCCCGTACGACTGGCTGACAACGTGATTGGCTACCGGCGTGACAGACAGACCAACGAACGGGGCAGGGCCTCCGGCACCCTCAACTACTGCCGCCACCGCCCAGACGCACTCTGGGAAAGCGCGGCGAGCACCCGCCTCCGGGACCGAGCCGGAGAGCGGGGAGGGGTCCGGTCACGGCTCGCCGGTTGGTCCTCGCCGGTGCTGCTGGCGGCGATGCGTGGCCAATAGGCTGCGCGTTCCCGGCCACGCCCGCGCGAGCTCTCTTCTCGCGAGGCCGGCTAGGCCCGAATGTCGTTAGCCGTGGGGAAAGATGGCGGAAAATTTAAAAGGTGAAGCAGTGGTGGCAGAGGCGCGGGCTTGCTGGCCGGGCCGGGTGGGCTGGAGGGGTGGCGTCGCGGGCTCGGGCACCTGGCGTGTGAGGCCACGGAGCCCGGAGCCGGAAACCCGGCGCCGAAAGGAAGGGGGATCGGGGAGAGCGGGCCTGGCGCGCGGGGCTGGGCGGGGCTGAGGGGAGTGGGCGCGCGCCTCGGAACGCGGTGGCCGCGGGGCGCTGGGGAGGCGAGGGGGACGCGCGCCGCACAGCGCGACCGGAGTGGCGCGCGCACGCGCGGGGGCTTGTAGCCGGCGAGGGGCGCCTCGCCCGCGCGCGGGAAAATCGGCCCCCGGTGACCGTTACCCGCACGGTGTCCACGCGAGACGCCGGAAGGGGAGGGAAGAAGGGGATACGAATCCCCCCCTACCTTGGTGTCGGGAAGACAGGGAGTGGGTGATGGAGGAAAGCTCTGAGCCAGAGGCATCCCCCCAGCAGGAAGGCAATGGGGGGCCTCCTTTGGGGAAGAGCTGCGCTCCCCACCATGTGCAAGGAAAGCAGGGTGCCCATGTTAGGGTGCTGCCCTGTGTGCCTCCAGCTGTGAGGAGTCTGCGATCCACAAGTGGGAGGCGAACCTGTGCGGGACAGCAGAGCCCAGCTGTGGTCAGCGACTGGCATCCCTGGCAGGAGATGTTAGCTGGGACCACTTGCGGTGAGAAGAGTGGGTTTCACGTGCTTGCGAAGGGATTGCATCACAGGGATAGGAAAGCGTGGGCTTGGGCTCAGTCTCCACTAGGCCTCACCTAGAGGGTGGGGGGAGCCCATGGAATAATTACGAAAAGCTCCTGGAGATTTTTAGTTGTGACATCTAGGATGTTTCGTTATGGGTTTAAATAGGTTCAAGTTTTGGAACGGCAGGTAGCAAATATTAACCATTTTCGAAAGATGCAGTAGAACATGGTGTGATTATGCTGAAAGTGTTTTGTGATTTGATTTGATCAAATGGCTTTTAAGAGCATATTAATTAAGAATGTGCCTAGCATCAGAAAGATATTTGCGGAAATGCCCTGTTGCTGAAGGTAGCTTGGAGATGGTCTTGGTAGCCCCGGCAAACACTCCAGGTCTGTTTTTAAGAAGCAGTGTCTGATCTGTATGGCTTTACCTTGTTGCTGAATCCAGAGCATATCCAACATGAAGTTTCCACCTTGCACAAAAATGTGGATGAGGCAGAAAGTCAGGATGTGGTGTGGAAAAGACATACTTGTGGGTTGAAAGCTCCCAAACTAATCGCTCAGGGTAGCTGCTCGTAATATACAATCCTGTATTCACAATTTCAAAGTCTGAATGTGGAAAGCTTTGTCTGAAATTTGGCACCATTTGTAGCAAAAGAAGATAAGACAGGACTGTTCAGTGAAGGTATTGTATCTTTGTTTCAGTTGTTTGTGATGTGTGTGAATCTTTTGTACTACAGAAGCATTAATGCGTTGGATTATGGTTTGATGTCCCTGACCAGGCTGGAGGTGGGTGGCTGTGTGGGTGGCGTTTGAAGTGGATGAGCCATAACCTAGAGCTACACTTCTAATTTTAATTCAATTTAAAAAGCTAAATTCTAGAAACATCTGCCCAGGAGTTCCCAATGGGGATTGGGGACCATTCCTTCCAGTTAGGCCTTTGTTTAGTGACCTGGGGGCTTAATCCCATTTCCTCCCCACCCCACCCCCTTCCTGGGCAGTGCAACCACCTGAGATGGGGGTTTAAAGAGATGCAGAGATAAGGGTGATCGAGAATCTAAGTAGTTTAGGAATAGTGCAGAGGAAGTCTGAAGCCCCTGGGAAGAATCCGTTAGGACCATCCAGATAGCAATTGCCTCTTTTAACTTCACTGCCCCAGGGTTAGTGCTGGGCAATGAGCACCTGGGGTTAGCTGGAGGAGGAAGCCCAATGGAGTCAATTTCTCCCCAACCCTGTCTGGCTGTCCATAACAGTCCTTCCCACCCCCCTGTTGCAGGTTGCAGTGTGTGTTGCAAGTCTTCTTGGAATCAGCTGCAGGACCTGTGCCGCCTGGCCAAGCTCTCATGTCCTGCCCTGGGCATCTCTAAGAGAAACCTCTATGACTTTGAAGTCGAGTACCTGTGTGATTACAAGAAGATTCGAGTGAGTGTGTACTAATGAGGCCCTGGTGGGAGGGGGTGGGTTCCCCCCATCCAGCCCAACACACACACACACACACACTCTCTCTCTCTCTCTCTCTCTCTCTCTCTCTCTCTCTCTCTGCTGGTATTTATGAAATGGAATTTCTTCCTCCTGGTTCTAAAAATTGCATTGAGTAGATTCTCATTCCCGTTTTACAAGTAGGGAGACTCAACGCTTTCCGAGGGATAGTGGGAAACAGGAGACAGGGTGAATCACTAAAGAAATCCCTATTCCCACGACCTTAAGAAGGTAAAACCAATTGCAGAGACAGATGTTGAGCCCAGGAGCCCAGCTGATGCTAGCTAAGGTCCCTATGTGCTTTCAGGATGGCCCAATTCCTTGGGATCTTGCACACCCCAGGGGGAGACCAGGAAGAAGCTCCTGACTTTGGACCAGCCCAACTCTGGCTGTTGCAGCCTTTTGGGTAGTGAACCAGCAAATGGAAGATCTCTCTGTCTCTCCCTCTTTGTTAACTCTGTAACTCTTAAAAGGCCCAGAACTAACAAACTTGTATTTGAGTCTGGTTTATCTAAGTTCTCAGCACACTTTCCTCATCTGTAAAACCCGGATGACCAATAGCACCTACTTCATAGAGACTAGGGAGAATTAAGTTAGTAAATAGTCTTTACTTAGATTGTTTAGAACAATACCCACTACATGCATAATGACTGCCAGAGAGAATGTTAGTTCCTTTCCTATTTTATACCTAAGGAAGCTGCAGTGCAGTGCAGTGGAATTTCTTGCCTGAAGGTAGCCCAGGTAGCTAGGGAGCTGTGGGTTGAGGGTGTGGACCCGGGCTGTTTAACCTGCACCTGCTGTTGGCTGCTCCCCTCCAGCTGCCTCTCAGCACCCACAGCTCTCTCCCTGTGGCTGCTGTGTGGAGGGCAGGCTGTGGGCTGAGTGTGATGAGGGTTTAAACGGTTCAGAGTCTGGGTGGATTTTGAAGGTGAGGCTAGCAGGACGTGCCAAGACAGATGGATGTGGAGAATATGAGGAAAAGTGATCAGGAAGGAGCTGGCGAGAGGGAAGACAGAGGAGGGAGGAGATCTGAGAGATTCAAGGCCAACTTCAAATTGGGCTGAGTGGTAAGATGGTAAGGGGAAGGGCAGGGCTGGAACCCCATTTTCTTTCTCGCAAGCCCATCCCAGAAAAGGGGTGCGTTGGGTGTTCCCAGTCAGCTATGCATGGGAATACCACTGGGGGCCAGCCCAAAGGGCTTGCCGCTCACAGCGTCACTGTCCGGCCCACCCCTCCCCGCCTGCCCCCAACAGGAACAAGAGTACTACCTGGTAAAATGGCGCGGCTACCCAGACTCTGAGAGCACCTGGGAGCCCCGACAGAATCTCAAGTGCATAAAATAACCTTTACACCTTAAAAATAAAATCTCTATCTACGTGCCAACCATCCTAACCCCTCAATTTCTTTCTCATATCTTCTTCCCCTCTAACCCCTCACCCTTCCCTTTCCCCCCTCAATTCCCCCACACATCTATCCTAACTGCATATAGATATAGATAGACATTCTCAACACTCTCATTTCTTCTTCTCACCCCATCCCTCCTCCTCCCATTTCTTCCACCTTATTCTCTCTTATTTCTCCATATTATTCCCCCATCATTCCCCCCTCTTCCAACAATATACCCACCCATCCGAACTATAATTTTTTTTTCCACCCCCACCCCCTTAACTCAATTTCAATATTATCCCTTCATACATATTTCCCCCCATTATTCATCATCCCCACTTCTTCCACCCCCATCCCCCCCCAAATCCTCCCCCCTCCCCCTTTTACCTTATCTTCATCTCTCATTTCATTCCCCAAAATCTATCCCCCACCCTTATCCTCCATATTCCACATACCTCCATCATAACAGATAGAGAGAGAACATCAATTTCAACCTCAAATACCACCTTCCACACCTCACCTCCTCAATTTCTTTTTTTTATCACCGTCCTCATTCTAATATACCGCCCAGACCATTCTACTACATTATAACTATTTATCTTTATTTCTCTTTTGACATCACATAGTATATTTAGCAGAGATGTGTTGAGTGTCTCCTTACCCTGTGTCCGCAGTGTGCACCTTAAACTCCCTGCTTCCCCTGTGGCTAAGGCTGAGGCAGGGCAGGGCTACTATTCCATGCCAGTGACACCACAGCCCGCCTGGTCCTGCCAGCTGTTCAGAGAGCACTTAAAAATCCTTCCCAGTGGGGCGGGTTTCCTAGGGTCCCTAGCAAAGCAGAAGGGGAGGAACCAAGACACAGACAGCATGGCTTGGTGCCTGCCTGCACCACCTGAAAGGCACTTTCCCTTGTCTGGCTCTGGTCTGGCTTATTGCTGGACAGCTTGTGTTCCAAAAGAACCCCCTTCCTAGTGTGTCCGGAAGGGGCACAGGCAGAGTGGTGTTGGATAGCGACATTCCTTGCACATAGGCTACCTACTTCCTCCCCAATGCTTGCAGGACACGGGGCCATTATAGTTGTCCCCAAGGCCTTAGGGGCTGCATCCAATAGAAGTTTGTTTACCCGTGGAGCAGTCCTGTGTGACTGTGCTGCTGGGTGTCTTCTTGCATTGGGAGTCATTTGAGCAACCCTGAGTCTGCCAAGGTGACCCCCGCAAACCTCCTTATATCTCCGTAAGCCCCTTAGGGATGTGATAATGGCCGGGAAATGATGGGAACTGGCTTGAAGGTGTCCACACTGCAGTGACAACATATCCTACAGTGTCAACACCGGCAATGGAGAGGCTCCTGCGTGGAGGAGCCATGGAGTGGGGAGGCTGAAGCCCAGAGGGTAGAGAGACTCTTGAGGCACAGTACAGGGGAACAGTCTGGTACAGTTCCTCTCCCTCCCACCCCCCATAACTCTGCGAGTCTTCTGGAGGGAGTGCCCTCATGCCAAACAGTGGATATGACTGTCTATAGGAAGCAGGTAGCCACAGGCCAGGGAGCTTCTGACAGTATGAGAGGTCCCGATGGTGTGTGGGAAGAGGGGTCCATATCCACAGTGACCCCCAGCTTGAGCCCTCCACACTCTACGCGTCTCTGCTAGTCTGGTTTAGGAAATGTCCACACCTGTCCTGGTACTGGGGCCAGGGGACGAAAGCAGCTGCCTCATCCTGGAGGGATCTAGACGGGCTGGAGGAGACTGGGTCTAGACCTAAGAGCAAGCACCCTACCAGTTGGGCAGTAGTAGGGTATAGAGCCTGCAGGATGCTGCCAGGCCTGCAGGCCATCCTGAGCCTCCCTGAACTGGCATCTCGAAGGACAGCTATCTACACACTGGATCCTGGCAGCTGGGCGGAGGGGACCTTGCACTCCCCGACCCCCAGGCAGCCTCCCAGGGTGCTGGCCCTGCCACCCACCTGCTTGCTCCCCCTTAGTTGCCCTCGCTCCCTCTTTGAGCATTCCAGAGCCCTTGTCACACACTGCTCTTGCCCCCTCTGGTTATTTTCACATTCTCTTGTGCTATTTCTTGACCTCCCTCTTGACATGTTTGGTGACTTCCGGGCCCCCTCCACCTTGCCCCACCAAGACCTATGGGTCCTCATGATGGCCACAGGTTTCCAGGCTACACCAGAAGCAAAGTCATCCCACACCCCCACTGCTCCCCCTAGCCCCCACAAAGATGCAGTGCAGTGAAGCTGTTGAGCAGCCACATGCATACATTCGGGAGCCTGACTACCTCAGCTCAAATGCCAACCCCCTCCATGCATTAACAGTCGCTTGGCCTATTTGTATCTCAGTTTGCTAATCTAGAAAGTGGGACAGATAATAGCACCCACCTCCTACACTTGTTAGAAGCATTTAACAGGCTGTTACATGCCCATCCCTTGAACAACATTCAGAAGACAAACTTTAACGTAGTTGTTAACCGGTATGATCCGAAATTCAGAAAATCCAAATTGCCCAGAAAACCAAAGAATTTTCCTAACCCACCTGGTTTCAAAACTCAACTTGACCTTATAGGGCCTATTTGTAGTCTATTTATCCCTCTTGGGGTGAATATTAATAAATTTGGTTGTATAAATGCTAGTTTTCAAAAGGTTTACTGCTTTTTATTTGAAAGGCAGAGTTGGAGAGGGACAGATAAAGAGATCTTTCATCTGCTGGTTCACTCCCCAAATGCCTACAATGGCCAGAGCTGGGCTGGTCCAAAACCAGGAGCTTCTTCCTGATCTCTCCCACATGTGTGCAGGGTCCCAAGGACTTGGGCCATCCTCTGCTGCCTTCCCAGGCCACAAGCAAGGAGCTAGATCAGACATGGAGCAGCCAGTACTCAAACTGGCGCCCATATGGGATGCCAGTGGCACAGATGGAGACAGCCTACTAAGTCATGATGCTGACCCCTAAATACTGTTTGACCCGATTATGTGGTGCTGCTCAAGACACTCCATCCCCCACACCCACATGCCATGCTATCCTTCCACTTGGGAGGGGACACAGAGCATCTAGACGCAGCCCCGGGAGCTTTTCTTGCAGCCCTTCCACATTCGGTGGCTGTTTTCACATTCCTGCCCATCTCTCAGATATTCTCTTGATATTCTAACATGTCTGAAATGCAGGTGAGCTTTAGGGAATTTAATTAAACAGCAGGGTTTGATTTAGCTGGGAGCAGTCTGTCCTTTCCCTCGTTCCTGGCAAGGAGCACAGAAGAGAAGGGTGTCTACTCTTAGATTTCATAAACCCCTCCCATCATTGCTCGGGGTGTCCCCAGCACACCTTTCCTACCTGCAGTGCTGGCTGGGTTTCTGTCACTCTCATTCCCCTTCTGTAGATGAGAAGATGGAGAGGTGTAGTTACTTGGTGAGAGTCACAACACTAGGGAAGTAGGGGGAAAGAAAAAGGCCTGAGTATGTAAAGCTGTGGCTCTGTCAGGCCTGGTGGCTTTTCACGGAGTGGCAGGAGTAGGGTGGGGTGCATTAAGGAAACAGGCATAAGAGGAAGAACAGCCAGGATCCCTCAACGGGGCGGGGTGGGGGGAGGCAGAGCAGCAGCAGGCTTCCAGCCGGCTAGTTCCTGTTCCACATCAGCCCTTCAGCCCTCTCTCCCCACTGCCAGCTTAGAGCCCATTTCCCCCTAGCTCTCTGAAGAGCTGCTTGGGCACAGAGATGGGGTACCCGAAAAGAAGACTGGGAAGGAGGGAGCCGTTTGTGCCCTGGAGGGCTTGCTGGATGACTCACTCCTTGAGAGACTGGGGGAGCAGGTAGGGGCAGAACAGGTGGGCAAATGGAGGCTAGGGAGCAGGCAGGCATTCCCCCTGGCTTCTAGAAGGGCTGCTCACAACCTCCCATCCTGCCACCGAGCCAGCAGAGGCTTCCCTTTGATCCCAGGGGCTAGCAGGCCCGGGAAGGCCGCCCAGAGCAGGAAACATCTGAGCGACTCCCACAAGGAACACCATGTGCTCTCCCGGAGGTCCTGGGGAACTAGACCTTGAAAAACTCTGCCTCAGAATGCCTGTGTGGTTCTCAAGTGGTGTCCTTGAGGAGACAGCCCCCACTCCTGGAGCTGCTGTGACAGCTCTCTGAGGATCTACAGCTTGCTTGAGAGGAACTTGGCCCTTTTCCACTGGCTATCACACTCCGACCCTGAACACTCTATCCTGCCCACATGCCACACTCGCTGTGCTGTGTGCACTGTGTTGTGGGTGTCGGAGTCCATCTCTCCTGGAGCCCCTGAAGCTGAGTCTCACCCTCCCAGCTGGGACCTCTGCAGGCTGGCTTTATGTACACATAGGCTTCAAGCAAAGCACAATGGATGAATGAGTGAATGAACAAATGAATAAAAAGTGGGGCATGAAGGAGCCAGGGTTTCTGAACAAAGAGGTGGAGTGTGGGGCATGAAGGAGCCAGGGTTTCTGAACAAAGAGGTGGAGTGTGGGCCAGTGAGCCAAAAGGTGGAGATGGCAGGGTAGGCGGCCACGGATCCGAGGGCATCAGCATGCTTGCCGTGGCTCAAGAAGCCTGTTAGCAGGAGCTTGGTCCCCAGCCCCTGTGAAGAGAGTGCCACAGGAGAGTCCAGTCGATGCCACGAAAGTCTGTGTCCTGTGCTAGCATGGGGTGGGCAGAAGGTGCGCAGTGGATCTGCGACACAAAGAAAATGACAAAGAAAGAGATGTGGTGGAGAAGACTGTGAGCTGTCACCAGGACACAAGCCGCTGGGTCAGGAAGCAGAGTTACCGCACATCCACTGTATGCTGTGCTTTGTCCTGGTGCTGGCGGAGACGGGGAGGGCACTCCAGCGTGGGGAGGGGACAGTCCTGGGAACAGTGGGACCCTCAGCCTGAGCCAGGCCTTGACATTTGTACCCTTTAGGTCTGTCAAAGGCTGCAGTCACTGGTGCCGTGGGGGAGAAAGTGTGGATGGGGAGGGGCAGTTGGAGAATGTACTGGCAACATGTGGGAGACAGGACAGGTGGGCTGGTGTGGTGTGGTGGCTGCACTTTGGCTGGTACAGGCAGGACAGCTGGGGAGGAGGAGACATGGAGGGGAGGCCACCGCTGTCCTCGAGCTGCTGGTGCCAGCAGTGTGTGGCCAGCGGAGCTGTTAGCTGAACTCTCTTTTCCCTCTCCCCCACCCCTCCCCCGTTCACTGTGTGTCTTTAAGTTTTTGGCTTTAGCCTCTTGTTATCTTGGTCTCCAGAGCTCTTGGCCTTGGACTTCTTCCAGGAGTCTTGGTCTTCTCCCTGGATCCTGGGATCTCTTCTGCTAACATTCGGTCTGTTGTCTCTTCCCTTTGTGCCCCCGCCTCCCCTCTCCGCCGCCCCCTCCGTCCTGTGTTCTTTTTCTTCTCATTGCCCCTGTCCTTCTGGCCTTTTGCAAACACAAGCTATTCTGTATTTTGCCCTGGGTCAGCCTGACTTCATTGTGCCCCAGGTCTCTTTGCCTGTGTTCTGGCTCGCTCATGCTCTATCTTGCTGTCTCTCTCTCTCCTCCTCTCTCCTCCCTCTCCCCTGACATGCCCCTGCGCTCAGGGCCTCTTGCTCTGTCTCAAGAGTACAGGAAGTTCTGGGATGTCTCGCAGGCAGGAATGTTTCTTTTGTCCTCACTGGCTCTTATGCCAGCCTCTGGCTCATTGCAGGGCCCTTCATGCCGTCGGAGGCCTGAGGACACGCGGGCAGTGCCCTGAGAAGGCACCGCAGCCCGGCTGTGTTGGCAGCTGGCCTTCCTGAGCAGTGGTGACCCACCCTTCTCCACCTTGCTTTGCCCTTTCCCCAGATCATTACCTCAGAGGAGGCGGAGCGGAGGGGCCAGATCTATGACCGCCAGGGAGCCACCTACCTCTTCGACCTGGACTACGTGGAGGATGTATATACCGTGGATGCTGCCTATTATGGCAACATCTCCCACTTCGTCAACCATAGTGTGGGTACTCCCAGCAGGTGGGCTTGGGGCCAGGACTGGGCAGCCCGGGTGCCTCCTCACTTCTCCCCCCTCCCCGCTGTTCTTTCTTGTCCAGTGTGACCCCAACCTGCAGGTGTACAACGTCTTCATAGACAACCTCGATGAACGGCTTCCCCGCATCGCTTTCTTTGCCACAAGAACCATCCGGGCAGGCGAGGAACTCACCTTTGATTACAACATGCAAGGTGGGGGTAGCAAGGGACTGGGGGCAGAGGCACCCAGTATCATGGCACGTGAGGCTCACCCGTCACACAGAACCCATGGGAGATGCTTTAGCAGGAGCTCTTCACACAATGCACCCCATACTCTCAGGCTCCCATCTTGATTTCTGGATTCCTGCCTACCCCTTGTGGCTGTTTATTCCCACTCCTTCAACTGCACCCAGCCCAGAGACCCTCCAAAGGTCTTCCCTTAGCCTCCCCAGCAGCACTGTTACCCGCAAGCCTGCCCTACCCCTCACCCACCCTGGCCTTCCTCATTCCAAGCCTACAGCCTGAAGCCAGCCCTCTCTTCCATAATCTGTTCCCTTCTGCCACACCCAGGGCAGCTCCCTAGCAGGGGAGTCCATGCCCCAATCCCCACAGGCCCTCACTTGCTCCCAACAGTGCCTCCTGCACTGACCTGAACATCCCTGCCCCAGGGCTAAGCCATGGCCGGAACTCCAAACCACCAGACCTCAGACCCCTCCCACTTCAGGTCTCTGACTGCTCTCAGCCCCAGGATCCCAGGGTCTCATGGTAGAAGGGGTCATGGGACACTTCGCCTGGACCGTCTAACAACTTTCCTTTTCCCTCCCTACCTCCCTTCTCCCCCCACCCCATCCTGCCCGTCGGCGGCTCTGACTCCACAGTGGACCCCGTGGACATGGAGAGTACCCGCATGGACTCCAACTTTGGCCTGGCTGGGCTCCCTGGCTCCCCGAAGAAGCGAGTCCGTATTGAATGCAAGTGTGGGACTGAATCCTGCCGCAAATACCTCTTCTAGCCCTTGGAAGTCTGCGGCCAGATTGCCGGAGGCCTAAAGCTGTCTGCTCCTTGCCCATTGCTGCCCTTCCTGGCCGTGGGGAACAGCTGCCAGGGCTTTGCCTGCCTCCACCTGTCCCCCACCTCCCGCCACCTGCTCTAGGGGCGGGCCTACAGGGAGGACTGACTCCAGGAGTCCCTTTCCCTGGCCCAGTCCCATCTGTGGGTTGCACTTACAAGCCCCTGCCCACCTCCAGAAGTCAGTTTTTGACGGCAGGGGTTTCTGCAGTCGGGATTCATGGAAACCTCCACTGGAGGTCTGAGGGGGTAAGCTGCAGCCCAGCTTTCCTCTCCCCCTAGAAAAGCTGTTTGTTTTTGCACCTGCTTCTGTCTGAAGGCTGAGGCATCTGTTGCAGGCCTCCGCCCTAGTGCCCCCGGGCAGCCTTCCTCCCCTCCTCCCCTGATATGAAGCTACTTCCTCGCCACCGCCACTGCAGAAGCTATCCCTAATGAAAGAAGGGGGACTCGTTCCGTTTCCCACACTGCCACATGTTGGCCCAGAGAGCTGTACAGGGGCCATGCAGCTTGAAACGTGGACCCCCTCCATGCGTACACACACACGCCTATGGAAGGCGAGTGGGTGCTGGCGGCCCACTGACTGGTGAGAGGAAGGCAGCCCAGATGCTGCCAGCCCTGACAGTGGGCTGCACCAAGCTCTCTGCTTTCTGGAGAGTACAGAGGAGCTGCCCTGGGGCACGATGTCTGCTGGAACTGCTTGGAGCTGGAAGCAAGAGCTAGATAATCTGTAGATAGCACTTAGGACAATGTGCATTGTTGGGGGGGCAGGGGGCAGGGCAGAGGTGCCAGGCAATGGGGAGAGCACCTGGTCCACGTGGATTGTCTCAGGGAAGCCTTGAAAACCACGGAGGTGGATCCCAGGAAAGAGCCCATTGGTTACAAGGTGAAGTACATGCCCGGGGGTGGAAGAGGAAGGGAACATAGTCAGTAGGCTATGGTGGGGTGAGAGGAAAGTTCCTGCCAGCCCCGACTATCTGTGTTCACTGTAGGCCCACTGGTCTCTGAAGTTAGCTGCCTACAAATGTACAAAAGGCCAAGGTTCGGTTGCCTGCCTCGCCCCCTGCCCCCTGAGCCTGTGGGATCTCCCCTAGGAAGCCTTTTCCTGACTACCTGTGCCCAGAATGCCCCTCCATGAGACCGTACACTCTGCTCTCAAGATGCCAGGTCTGTGCGTGTGTCTGTCTTGCCTCTCCCTGCTCCTTAGACCTTCAGGCATGGACTGCCCCTGCTTCTGGTGTGTATCCCCCAGCCCTACTACTCAGCTTGGAGTAGGCATCAATAAAGTGAAATGTTGACCGCAAAAGGCCTAGTAAACAGGACTGGGGATGGGAGGGGATGGGGAGAAGAAAGGCTGGGAACCGGGGGTCCTTAAACCTCACCCATCCAACCCTAACCCTCCTCCATTTCAGCCCACACGGTATGTTCCCTGTACCATCTACATGACATCTTGTCCTAATGTAAACTTGGCTGATTCTGTAATGTGTACGGATACTCAAATCTAAGCCTGTCACTGTCCAGTTAGACAAACCATCATCACCCAACATGACCAAACCAAAATAACAAAGCAGAGGAAGGGCCATGGGGGAGATGCAGTGATGTACAAAACCCTAGCTGGCCTCCTGCTGTTCCTTGGCATTCCTTGAGCCTCTGCCCTTGCAGCCTGCCGACAATACTCAAAGGGAAAGGCCTGTTCAAAACTTCCACAGATATTTACCAAGCACCTGATGTGGGTGGGCTCAAGTGTAAACAGAGAACAAAGGTACAGTGTTGCAAAAATACTTGCCTGTCATCTTCCCTCAGCCTGAAGGTGAGGCTGTGGTCTTGGGTTTTGCTCAGAGGCAAAAAACCCAAACATCCCAAAGACCTCATATCCTGAGACAAAGATCCATCCCCAAATTCCCAGCGCATGCACACACAGGCATGCATGCACGGGGCAAGCTGGGACTCGGGCCTCCAGATGGCTCCTACACCTTGGACCTGGAACACTGACCCCACACCTTTTGGAGACCTCATACTCTGAGGCAGACCTCAGGTAACAGCCAGGCTTCCAGGAAATGGCTACAAGCACCCAAACTGGCATTTGGACCAAAAAAGGCTTTCCTCGTGCAGTGGAGGTAGAGACCTAACAACCTGGGAGGCCACCATGCACACTCGCCACAGCAAGTGTGACTCCCATGCTGCCTGGGCTAGCCCTCTCTCCCTGCCCGAGCAGCGGAGCCTGCCCAGCCGGAACTAGGTCCTGTTGGAACCCCCTGAGAGCCCTAACACTCTGAGCCAGATGACTGAGGGCCCCTGAGCAGTACGGTGGGCAGCCCCTAGACCCCACTCCCTCTAGCATGCAGTGCCACAGGCCCCAGAGCAGCCCAACTCGGAGGATTGACACCGTTGGGGACAGACCTCTAGCCTGCACTTTCTGACAGGTTTTGAACAGCTCTGAGTCATGGCAGCCAAGGAATAGGCAGCCAGTGCTTTGTAACACACATGCACACACAACTCAGGGGGCTCACAGTCTGGGGAATGCCAAAAAGCTCAGAGTTCAAGCCAAGATTCAGTAATTTCTCAGTGGATGCACAAACTGGGACCAAGATGGGCCAAGAGTTTGCAGAGCTTGCACCCTCAGCACCACATGAGAAAGCTCTGGAATCACTGCCTCAGGACTGAGGGCCCTAACTTGCTGCAGAGCTGCCACCCCTAGCATGCAGCTCCCTGTTCAGAGGTGTCATATACAGGACAGTTTTTCCTCACGTAGCTCACAGCTGCTGTATGCTGAGACATGGCCCCAAGCAGCTCAGAAGCCTCACCCAGGGGTTCCCTGAAGAGCTCGGAGACCTGAAACTCTGGACTCCAATCCCTTAGGACACCTTGCACTCCTGCCTGCAGTAACTCGGGTCATATGGTCCGAGCATAACCCCCAAACAGCTTTGACATGTCCTGCCCTAGGCTTAGATTCCCCAGGTGGCTCAAAATCTTCCTACTTTAAGCTGGATCATTAGAGGACTCTGAAATACCACACCCTTGAAACCATTTGTGGAATCTGAACTTTGGGCTCATGTCCACAAAGACTTCTGATAGCTAACAATCACAGACCCAGATTAATTCACACTCCCAGCCAAACGGGCCACAAACAGCAGTTCAGTCCTTGTGGTTTTGTTGGTGGTGGTTTGTCTGTTTTTTTTATTATTTTTACCTGAAAGTTGCACAGAGGGAGAGAAAGAAGTCTTGCACCCAATGATTCACTCCCCAAATGGCTGCAATAACTAAAGCTGGGCTGGTCAGAAACCAGGAGCTTCCTCCCAGGTCTCCCTTATGGGTGCAGGGTCCAAGGACTTTAGGCCATCCTCCACTGCTTTGCCAGACTATAAGCAGGGAGCTGGATTGGAAGTGTAGCACTGGGATTTGAACCTGTACCCATATGGGATGCCATCACACCAGGTGGAGGCTTAATCTATGCCACAGCACCAGCTGCAGAGTTAGACAACTGTCTACCCTATGACACAGAGCTCCAAACAGCTCAGTGACCTAATATCCTGGATAGAAACCCTCAAACATTTCAGAAACATTAGAAACTGATGCGAGAACCCTATACTGCCCAGAGACTTCAAACCCTGAAAACAGACTCCCTAATGAGTCAGACGCCTACCCAGGAAATGAGGCTTCCCAAAAGGAGTTACCTCATCCTTGGGAACAATCCGACAGTTGAAAGACACAATGACCAGAGACCCATCAAACCTTAGAGACCTTAAACCTGGGATGTGGGGGGGAAATACTTCACAGCTGAAAATGTTTTCTAAGCAGGTGGAGGAACTCAGAAACCAAGCAGGGTTAGGGATCATGTGAAGTAGGACTCGGACAAACCACAGAGAATAAGCTAGGGGCTCTCCCCACCACCCCAAAATGTAGATCAGAAAGTGCTCAGACCCCTCAAATTATGGGATTCAAGAAATCCTTCTGAAACTTGGGGTATTGACGCCCCGCCCCCAATATAATTCACAGAATGAATATGCTGGATGCAAAACATGAAATAACTCAGAGACCAGAAATTGTGGGGGCTCACTTCCCACCCCCAACAGATGAGATATGTCACATCCTAGATGTGAGGCCAGCAGTGGCTCAGGGAGCTGGGCTGCTGTGACACACACAGCTTAGATGACTCAGCTTCTCAGGAGCTCGTGGCCGGGGACCTGAGGCCGTGCATCCTGTAACACCCAGGAAGATCCAAAACACCATGCAAGGCAACACAGATGCTCATGGCCACTTCAGAGATGTAACAGCCCACACACCAATCCTCAACCTCCATTCCCGGGGACCCACACCCACAAACAGATCTGAGTTGTCACACTCCAGGCCATGATGACCCCCTGCCTGCTGGGGTTCCAGGAAGAATGTGGTATCAGGCCCACAGGAAGGTCATACGCATGTTGCTTGGGATGTGCACGCATGCGTAAGGACAGTATGTGAGGAGAAACCCTGAGCTGAGCTCTCAACCTCCACCATGATTCACTCATCACTGCCAGGTGAGTGAATCACAAGCTCAACAGCACAGCCAGAAATGGGCAGGGGCTCTCCCAGCCATGTCACAGGCTCATGAAGAAAGACCAGCAAGCACACACCTCCACCCCATCCCACTGCATGGGGGAACCAACCCTTACACATCCAGGGAGCTTATCGCGTTGACACACCTACCCACAAACAAAGCAGAGCTCTCCAGCCCTCTAACGCAGTCACAGTCACGTCGGCAACCTCACAAGCCAGGCAGACACCAGGGACTGATCACAGACTGATCACAGACCCATAAAGACCTCCGATCACACGCCAGCACACATGCCAGACACCTTCACCATCAGACATGCACACATACATACACACACCGCAGGGACAAACACTTCGTCAGATGTAAACCACAAACAGGTGATACACTTCAGAAACTGAGACATGTAACAACACACGGAATGGGTCCTACATCCTTGAGTCGCACACGTGCATGCTGTGACAGACTCAAACAAGCTGGGACCTCAAATTCCATAACTTACAACTGCAAACAGGTTAGACACCTTACATGAGCACAGAGGCATGGCATATTTTTTCAAAAGGTTTATTTTTATTGGAAAGGCAGATTTACAGAGAGATGGAGAGAAAGATCTTCCACCCACTGGTTCACTCCTCAAATGGCCTCAATAGTTGGAGCTGAGCCAATCCGAAGCCAGGAGCCAGGAGCCAGGAGCCTCTTCTGGTTTCCCATGCAGGTACAGGGTCCCAAAGCTTTGTGCTATCCTCTACTGCTTTCCCAGGTCACAAGCAGGGAGCTGGATGGGAAGTAGAGCAGCTAGGACACAAACTGGCATCCATATGGGATGCTGACTCTTGCAGGT